AGTTATTGCTGCAATATTCAAGGGGATGAGCTCCATGATGGCTCGCTTTTGACTCTCCCCACTTGTGACTTGAAAGCTTTAAATAACTGCAGCACTAACAATAGTGTCCTGATCAAAGTATACAGTATAATCATTCTGATGTTTATGCAAAACAGTTGACCTGCCTCCTGATTTCACTTGCCACCTTGTAGTGAAACAGCAAAACATCAACCCTATAAACGGGAGGTACAGACTGGAGCTGAGGTGTCCCAGGTGCATCTTGCAAGATCCTTTAAGGTTAGGACCAGGGATAGAGATCCACAAAACAGAAGGTTCTACAGTTCAGCTTTTGGTAATCATTTTCTACACAACAAACAGCAGTCTTGCACACTGAAGGAGGCAATTAGTTCAAAGTAGTAGTTAATTTAGCACTTGAAATTGAAACTTTACACACCCACAGTCGTTAATGCCCAGAGCTGGCCATTCCCAACTGAATCGAACCCAATTCGAACTCAATTAAATTTATCAAAACCCATGTGTCTCAAATCGTTATTTTACGGGTGCGGTAGAGGACCTACTGAACCGAGGCTCTCTGGGAGCTGGGCACCCCCCCACGATAGCAGAACTCCCAGCAGGTCCCAGATCATCCCCTCGGCTGAGCTGAGGCTGAGCCCTGCGATCGCGGGTTCGAGGCTGGGTCACGACTAACCACCTGCGGCTGGGATTCCCCAAGCGGCAGCACACGATCCACTGAGCGACGGTAAGGGATAGCGGGGAATCCGTCAGCCTGGTCGACCCCTGCGGCCGGCCGTCTGCAGGCACGTGGTACAGATTCGGGGCCGCAAGGTGTTAAGGGATCAGTGGCTTGAAGCAGTCCGCCCACACCTCCTCCTTCTCCCCCGTGGGAGGTCTCACGGCTCATGGCCATCAGCCAAAATTTAAAATACACACCCGGCTGTCCTAAATAGGGAAATGGGGGAGCTCTTCACAATTCTATGTTGTTATTGGGGGGAGGAAAAAATGCAGGCAGGGAGATAGCAGGCACGCTTTTCGCTTCTGCTCCAAGAACGGTAGCACTGGTGTGACGTGGGTAATGAGAGGGCAAAGGTCAGGCACTCCCTGGGGAAGGGTGCTACCTCTACACAGGTTCAGCAGGGCAATATTATTCCCTCCTCAGGGACCACCTTAAAAATAATTGGCGCCCCTGTCAAGTTGATCCCTAGCCACAGCCCCCAGTGAGGTCACCTTGCTCTGCTTGAGTGCCCGTTGCCCAATAATACCTCTTCGACGTGGCTCTGTCTCACATCACAGGCTTTTTCACAGCACTGTAACACCCCTCCGTGATCATTGTCATCGTTATCGAGTCTTTCCTGGAGCAGCAGCAGTCAGGATTTAAATTTATGGTACTCAGGGGTCAGGTTTGAAATTCATCAAGGAGCTAGATTAGGTTTTTGACATGAAACAAAAGAGAAACATCTGTGGAATCTACTGCTCGTGGATTCTAAAAAACTCCACACACACACCTTTGCATTTTAACATGAGAGAAGCAATGTGTCAACCTTCATCGTCAGAGAGCTTATGCTTTTTAGTAGCTTCAGTTTGTCTCTGCTGATGTTACAGGGGATATTTATAAATCAACCTATTGACCTTCACCCATTTCTGACACAGCAATATAGTGTCATCAGTCTGTGAGGGTGCCTGCGTCTAACAGGCTCAAAGAGCTTTGTTGAGATTGATGGATATGTGCATTAGTTGGAGTGCTTTTCAAGGTATTGGTGCAGTAGAGTGCAATATCAGATACTAGAAACCCCTGATGGAAGTTGACAGATCTAGATTTTAAGATTGAAACGATGGAGGGGCACAAGATACAATCAATAGAGTTACATTTTAGAATTCAGAAACTCCTAAGTTACTTTTATAATAAATACATCAGTTCCAGAAAACAAAAACTACTACTAAAGGATGTGGCATATTTGAAGACCTATGATAATGTTTTATTTCTTCATTAAAGAGTAAGATCCTTCAGTGCAACACGAAGAAAAACAATGACAGCAGTTCATTAAAGTTACAAATCTTTGAAAAAAGTCTTGAGTCTCTGTCTACAAGAGTAACAAACTTGCACACACTAAACATTAGCATAAAAAGCATTTGCTACACTTTACCCAATAAAGAAAAAGTGGTATTTACCATGCTTATCACAAGCCTTGCATAATTGCAGCCCTGACAGTGCAAATGGAAAATGCTAAAGGTTACCGTCTTACTAAATATGAATTATATTCAATTTTCACTACAGCTTCATGCTGGGAGTTCTCAGTTTTTAATTGGTCTGCAATTTATGGATCTCAAAATGAATACATGCTATGTGCTGTTACTGGGCAGCTAATGCACAGTCTTCTGTTCAGTGCAGCTACTGTAGTCGTAAGATTTCATTCAGCACAGAGATCAAATAATGAAGGCTACCACATCCTTTCCCATTCTGAACCAACAAAAATAGCTTCCCAACAACACAAGGCCCCTCTTGCTAACATTATCTGAGCCCAGAGCCGTTCTGACAACTAATCACCATTTTTACGCAGACTGACATAAGAATTATGGAGTAATACAAAAGATTCTCAATCACTATATTGAACAATTGTGTTGTAATTTTAAGCAGTTTTTTTAACTGTTCATTTAAACTATTCAGCTAAACTCCACATGGGCTTGCATGACATATGATTCAGTTTTTGCCTGTTATGACTACTGTAGGCCATCATAACCTCAACAGCAGTTCGCACACCACACACTCTTTTTCTTCACATCTATGTAATAATTTTATACATCCATCATATAATGTAGGTTCCTGCTAATTGTTTTTCTGAAAACATGTAGCATAAATTGGGGTGAAAAAAAGGTGATTTATTATTGGCCCTCCTTGACAGAGTGTTGCTACAAATACCGGGCTATCTTAGCTTTTTCTTAAAGCTGTGAACGTGTGGTTACTGTAAGCCGGAACAGTAAGGAAAAAATGTTTCAGGTCACACATCGTTTGTATAAAAAACGTTGAGACTTTGTGATTTTATTTTGTTTTTTGCTTTTGTAACAGCAAAGTCGTACCCCTCGCAAATGCAGGAGGCTGTCGCCAACTTCTATCTAGAGGAATCCCGTCTAGAACTCTCTGGGCAGTGCCGAGGTATGGACGTTATCACGGCAGAAAGTTCTGGACAACACCGGTAGTGTGTTCGAATAAACCGGTGCGGAAAAGGCTGTTCATTGCAGTGTTGTCTGGCTGGAGATTGCGACAAAGCAATCGGCGGTGACATTCCTTCATAAGGTGACTAGTGCGAAATACTGTACAGTATTTATACAGTAGGTCCCGAGCACACTGAAATTGTATAGGCTGGTGCACTGTAAATGTGCAAAGCTCGAGTTGGTCTTGAAAAACTGCACTGCATCTTAAAGAGGTCAAGTGAAAACAACAGACAATGGAACTACGGATCAAAAACATTTTGCATTTCTTTGGAGTTATTCACAACCGCAACAACATGTTTCCCTAGCCCGTACATCGTAAAACGTCGTCTTATTTAAGGCACACTTGATGTATTCTATAGATCTTCTTCGAATTAATCGTTTTTGTTGTAGAGTTGTTTTCTGCGTATTAAAACATCGACTCGTGTTAACCTATGACTTCGTCTGAGAGCGTTAAAATATGGTAATAAAGGAGATTCATCCGTTTAAAATGTTTAAAGTACCTGCTTCCAAAGGGAAGAAGGCTAATGTATAGTTTCCATTACATAACTGATTATATTTCGCACATTTTTATTTTTCGGAATGTATTCTATAGCTAATAAAAAAGACGTTACTTTGTAGTTACATTCAATCGTTTTTTAAATAAAGTTATGAAAATAAGTCGTTTTTTCTGCATAAAACAGGATTGCATATCATTATGAGGATCAAAGATCCGATTCGTATTTGAGAGTAGTGCGAATGTAACGCTTAAATCATAAATTTGTTTATTTTTAGTTACTTTTTATACTATTTTCAGCATCTAGGTTGGCCACCACACTAAGAGAAACTAAGTTCAGGCGAGGACGAATTCTTTCATACCTTTAAGGATGAAGGAAAAGCGATTTTTTTTTAGTTTCCGGATTTCACAGTAAACTAAAAAATGAACACCAAATTCTAAACTCGGACGTTCGTTAAAGAAGTAGACTATCAAGGGCACTATGGGTTAGAACATGTTTAATAATGAAAAGGTGCGATAGGAAAACACCGAGAAACTTAAAGCATTTTGAAGTAAATAAACAGCGGCTGAATTTAACGTGTGACACACTATTATATGGAAAAAAGATATGCAATAAAATTGTTTCAGGTCGAATTATACACAACAATATGGTGCACCTGTTGAACTTCTTAAAGTTTTCGGTTATTTTTTTATTTATTGTGCACTGTTTCATAAACTATAGCGATAAAACAATGCAGGGCACTTGTTGGGTTTAGGTTTATTTATTGTAAATACTGTCATTTCAATGGGGACACAATGAACGCTTATACAAATGCTTAATGCAAGCTCTCCATAAGTGGGATGCTTGAACTGTCGCCTCACGGTGACATTTAAGTTGAAAGCGTTTTAACGTTTCGCCTTTGAATCGAGTTCAGATTGCTTTGCTACCGATGGGGTTCACTGAAGTTCTTCCCTCCTCATTTTAAGCTCGGACTGACTTATTGGATCCTATGCAATACAGATCTAATCGGAAGACAGAGCTAGCTTTAAGCCTCCAAGGAGCAGAAGACGAACAGTTTTCGCGAACAGTTGAACAGCCACGATCCCGATCTACATACAACCAGCTCCACGAACGTCCAAGCGAATAACTGAACGCAAGCCGATAAACAGAGTGCGGGTTTCGACAAAGAAACAGTTGTACACACAGTGCAGCAGGGAGTGCACGACACCGTACTACATCATTGAAACACCGGAGACTTCGGTCGAATTATAAACATCTTGAACGATTATTAATATCGAGGACAGTCAGCGGAAACCTTACCTTGACCGCGGGTCTCCGTCAGCAGAGAACCGAAAATCAACAGCAGACCGTACACGTTTAGACGGTAATCTCTCTTCGGGCACATGTCTGCCAGAGTAGACTCCTCCGTTTCTAGAATAAAATGCCCTTGTGTTACAAACACTTTCCTAACAAAACAACAAAAAAAAAATAAGAGGGAAAAAAAGCTAAGGACTTCACCGGCCAGCCACTCGCCTTGAGACCTTACAGGCACATACCACGCTTAGCGAGTCGAGCGGAGCGCAGCTTTGTAATTGGAATCAGCTGAAAGGCAGAGAATGTTTAATTTCAACGCTCAGTAAGCGGATTGCTAGCTCCAAGTACTGTCAGCACCTTAAAGACAGCGCACCAGTGCCGTTTCAGCACCGCGGACAGCTCCTAGCGTCAGCAAATGGAACAACTTCAGCGCTGTAGAAAGTTTGTACCGTACATAACCTAATACTGCCCTCATTAAAATGCCTCCAGCATTGCACAGGCTATGTAATTCTGGGCTATTGATTACGGACGCCAAGGGTTAGAGAGTGCGAATTCATACACAACCAGAAAAAAAAATGATTCCGTCTTCATGTTCTTGATCCGCATGCAAGGAGGGAGGAAAAGCAGATCGGAAGGTTTCAGTAAACGAGACTTCGTCCTGAGCTATTATTATGCCAACAATCATTTCATTATTAAATCTCAAGTATTAGACAAATCGCTAATGAACAAAATTAGCGGTTTCTTAAAAAGGGCATATCTAAACTCTATAATCCCGGAGGAGGCATTAATGAAGCCCTGTCTCATTAATTGGAGTGCATACCTGTGGTTTTGAATTGAATTTACAACAGAGCGCAGAAGAAGTCATTTATCCTCTTCAACACCGTGACATTCCGCCGACGACATTACTACGCACTTACTACAGAATAGTACATATATATATCAGTGGAATCCGCAGTCACTCAGCTTGCAAACTGTGAATTTTAAAACAGGACACTGGTAAAAACATACAAATCAATCACTTCAAATAATCACTTACTGTATTTTACAAACACCGGGCCCCCTCTCCCCTCGTGATACCCTGACACTTTTACGTGATTCGAGTTTCTTATTCTATCGATGTTCATCACGTTTATCACAAAAGCTAGCTCAATACAACGGCATAAGCAGGACATATACAGTATCAGGCACAATAAATGTAACAGGAACGTAAAATTCAGACGTGTACTTTAATGTACCATATAATTTCTGGCTGTGGCAACAAAGCCTGATTTCATTTTTGATAGCGTACTTTGTTATCACACAGCATGTACGATCCCCTGGGGACACCCAGGACCGAACCCTGATTTGACAGTCAGAAGGGACAGGCAGATCACATCTCCGGCATGGTGTTAAACAGTAACTTCCTTTTGTCATCGCGAGCTCTCTCTCCCTCTTCGTATTTTAAAACATAGCCTTGGCCAGCCGAAGGCCTGGCTACGTACTGTATGTCTCGTAATGGAGTTATCAGGCGACGGCGGGGAGAGGTGTAAAATATGATTGGACCCGAGGACAGCCTCCACATGACTCAGAGTACATTGCAGATATCAGCAGAGCGCAGGAGAAAAAAAAACGAGAAAAACAACTTCAATCACATTTTGATTCAGCACTTTCAGACTTTTATTTTAATAAAACAAGTCTAAACGCTTTAATAGAAATCCCGTGCCTTGCCATTTGTGAGTTAAAAAAAACACATTTCTGCGTGTTCTTCGAGAGAGAAGAGGTGATAAGCCTTCACTGTGTGCATGGTGAGGCTGGGTATTCATTAATCTTATTTTTGCATTGCACAATATCAATATAGAATTTTATATCAGAAGTGGGAAGAAATTTGAAGCACAAAGTTGCTTTCCCTTACAGGTATCCCACCCTGACACAGAGATAGTTTTGCCTACCCTGATTAAAAACAGCACACATTGCTCATGTACATATTCATTAGGTAGTCCAGAATTAGTTAGAATTAGGGTCTATGACAGCAAATAGATAATTTTTAAGTCCCTATCTAAAAAAGAAAACCAAAGACAATGACATTTGGAAAAATGGCAGAAAGCTGCTGAAGTTTTGCAGGAATCATCTACTGTCATTAATGAATAATGTGTCAAACCGAAGACATAAAAATCGCATTTCAGAGCTCATTACATACGTCCTAAATTGGTAGAGGAGTAAAGTATCCATAGAAAACTCACATGTAATGTCTTAAAGAAACACAAAACCTGGCAATGAATATTTGTGTTGGACATAGATGTGCTCAGATTCTGTCTGAATGCTTGAAAACCAGGAAGCCTGGGAAACCAGCTTAATGAGAAGACTGACACACAAGTTTGAGAACAAGACACTACTTCACTGTTTGACATTGCTGAGATTTTTATGTTCCAGGCTGGTAACGGATATTTTCTGGATCCCTTTCATTTTGTGCGTCTTCAAAAAAGTGCAGCATCCTTCGTTTCCACAGCTGACACTGATGTATGGGAATCAAATGTTTTCATAATCACAGGACCTCTTTGCTTCATTTGTTGCCGGTGTAGAAATAGAGAACCCCTGGTCTGAATGTGTTGAAGACCTACAGCAGTCCACCCATGGAATGAAAGTACAGAGTGGGTCTGTTTCTTGACTATATATCTGTGTACTGGAGGGCACTGTGGTTAGCTTTGCTGCATCGTAGCGCTTAGTCCATGGGTTTAATTCCAGACTTGGGGTGCTATCTGCGTGGAGTTTGTATGTTCTCCCCATGTTTGTGTGGGTTTCCTCTGGCTGCTGCTTCTTCTAAAGTCCAAAGACATACAGTAATAATAGACTACTTTTTTGGGGGGGAAAGTTGGCCCTGGTGCGTGTGTGTGTGCGCTTGTGCGCGTGCCCTGCAATGGAGTGTTGTCCTGTTGCTTGCTGGGATAGGATCGGCCTCCCCCGCAACCCTGTATTGGATAATGCAGCCAGAAAATGGATGGAATGGATGTCAGTCTACCAGAGTGTAGTGCACTAAGCCAGTTACAGGAGTGACAGCACCCCCTATGAAACCTAGACAGTGAATAGCTCTGTAGAGCCAGAGGAGCCTGTGGTTACCTGCTGTGTGGCGCTTCTGTGAGTCTCAGCAAGGGCAGAGACAGCTGCACGTGTCACATTTAGTCCAGCTTTAAGCTCTCAAATGGGCTCTGTCCAGGTTTGATCATGAAAACTGAGCCTGAGCTATAAAAGGGGGCTTCATGAAATAATGGAACAGAAACCCATAGAGAGTGTTCATTACTAACTAATAAATACATTAGTAACTCTTCTATTATATTCGATATTTTAAACAAAAACAGTCTTTGACAAGCCGTTAAGTAGCAGTTCAAATTCTAAAACAAGTCCCGCTATCGGTAATTGTTTTGTTTTTATGTTTGGGATTGATCGACACCAGAAATAATCTGAACTGCCACCGTGAGTGTTATTGAGAGTCTCTATTTTTCAAATCTGGGACTCAGATTTAACCTTCTAATTTAAGAAGCTCATATACTTTGCCAATAATGGTTCCCATTCACATAAAGAGTGGTTTGTACTGCATGAGCGCAATATTTCTGCTGATCCTAGATGTCTGGAGAAAACCAAACCCCGAAACCACGAGGTAGAGTTTCACTGCTCTGCTTTTACAGATTGAAAAGCCCACGGAAAGACCCAGTTCTGAGGAATATGAACCCGGATTTTTAAGATCAAATGATCTCATTCTTTCTCCCCTGTCTCATGCTCTCTGCATTGTTAGTCTAATTTGAAACGTCATAGCGAGTATGAAGTTTATCTTTTTTAAATCCAATGTATTGATTTATTGAAACATTTCCTCATCTGCATTGTAACCTATCTTTTTTTCTGCCCTATAATGGTGCTACCAACCACATAATTTTAAAAAGCTTCTCCAATAATGGTGAGAATAAGAGGGGCTGCATTTTGTCCATAAAACTGATGTATGATTCGAAGGTCTGAAATGATTTCCGCATGTACCCCGGAATTTGTTTTTCTTTGGAAATGTCGCAGTTGCGTTTTAAGGGCTGCTCTGCGAGAATCCGAAAAAAATATGGAAATACTTCCAATTATATTTAGATAAAGCGTGTCTAAGCGAGGCATGTATAATCTCAATTCCACATGTAGCAAATCCAAAAGAGGTGTATTTGTGTGTGGTTTTTCAATGAGATAACATTCTCAAAACACTCAAAGATTTAAGAGGATATACAGGACCAAATGGGACTATCGAATGTGTGCAAATATCTCTTAATGAGTTTAAAGGAGAAGAGGAAGCAAGCACAGTATATTTCAGCATTCCTGCCATTGCACAAGGAAACCCAGAAAAGTGTAATGCTTTTAACACTTCATCCTTTAAACTCTGAGGATACCAATTTTCTCTCTCTCATTTGTCTGCTGCAGAAACCACCCCACTCACTATGTCTGGTTCATTTCTTTTGCACTTACAGTCTGTCAATCTCATCGCATTCAGGAGCTGAGTCTTTTAAATGCGGGATATTTAAATAGCAATCCATTCAGAGAAATAAGATCTTCATTTTACACTGTAATGGAAAAGCATTTGTGAAAGTTTTTTTTAAGGGTGGGGGGGGGGCACAGTGGGGAATGATGGTCACCCACTGCTTGAATTAAATGCATTAAATGTTATAGTGATATCAAACCCCTTTGTTTGGACTGGTAAAAAAAAAGATAAGAAAATAAAGAGATGTGATTTTCATTGTGCTATAAAAAACGAGATTCTGCATTTTCCTTCTTATATAAGCATATAATTCCTCAATAGACAGGTTCTGTCTTGTGCTCTGATTTGCACTTGAAAATCTAATAACTTCTGACTGGTGAGGAGTTCTATTTAAACCTAATATATGATTGAGAATTGAATAAGGCAGAGATATGAGTGTTTTCATTCAGTCTCCAGTGGCTACTATTGAAGCTCTGGTGCTGTATGTGAACATTATGTTGTAGCAATAAGTATTAATGTTTTCCTGTCTCTTCAAGTCAGCATTCAGACACACTTAGCCTTCTTGTAATGTCTGCAATAATGAGAAGTAGCAGAGCCCAGAAATTCTACACACACATTCAGAACACAAGAAGCCCAACAATTATCAGGGTGCCAAAACTCCCATCCTTGATAAGCATGCTCACTGAAGGACAAAATCAAAGGGACTGGGGATCCCCCATGCAAATTTACTGCAGTGCAGCATGATTGAAAATGTACGTGTAAAAACCCAGTGAAATCATATTAAAATTACGGTAAAGCAGAGAGAGAAATCTGACAAACAGTGATTCATTTTTGCATTTTATCCCTAAAGCCAGCTGGGTTGGAGGTTGAATTACTTTTTAATAAATCTGTTTAAATTTTGCAGCAATGCATTTCTTGTCAAACATGTAATCACTTGTATAACATGATAAAATGGGTAACCACGGTAAAATTAATCACCCATCAGGGAAAACTCCAAAAAATAATGTATGGATTTCCCTCAATAGGCTTTTCATAAGGGGATTTGACACCTAGAGTAAAGTTTACAATTAATAAATGGGTCTCAGATTACTCAAATGCAAACAATTATTATTAAAAAAATATTAGGACTCTTTAACCTCTCTTTGTAATCACCCCATTGAAAAAGTTAATTAATGTCACCTTTTTCTTCTGCGTACTCTACTGGGTAGTCTTTGCATCACCCTGTCTGGCTGTCTTATTTACTACTGGTTCATGGATGATTTACTGGTGGTGTTACAGTCTCTGATGAGGAGTGTGTGCTAAATATTTTATAGGAAGCTGCTAGGTGGTCAAGTCACTGCAGCTCTAGAATATCAGTGTATCCAAGTCCACTATACTGTTCTATCCATGGCCAAAGAAAGTA